GAAATATGGGACAGAAATATAATTTCACACAATCAAATTTTGCTTTTTTTTCTTTTTCAAAACCTCCACATACATGTAATCATAACATATTTCTAAATAAAAAAATAAAAAAACTTCTCACTCCCACATTCTCTCTATCACTCTCTTCCTCTCTCCTTCTATTTTAAAAAAATAATAAATATTAATTTCTCACACACTTTGTACGTGCCCATATGCTAGTCTGTTCTATAAAGAGAACCCTCCTTGTTAACTTTTTGCCCCTCTTTTTTCCTATTTTGCCCTCATTTTGATACACAATATTGACATGAAGAGGGCAAAAACAGTAATTTTGTATCTTTTGAGAAAATGACAATCATGTCCCTATTTTTCCTATTTCACCCCTTATTTAAAAAAAATGACAATCGTATTCCTATTTTTCCAATTTTACCCTTACTTTTTGATACACAATATTTACATAAAGAAGACAAAACATAAATTATGTAATATTAAGAGAAAAATATGCACTTATTATTATCATTATTTCATACACTTTTTAAAATTTTAAAAATTAATCACACTCCTTAATAAAAAACAAAAAATAAAATGAAATTGTTCACACACACAAAGTGTGTGCTCATCTGCTAATAATAATTAAGAGAAGATAATTTTGAATTCGAGATGTTAGAAACCAACACCCTGCTATGCTTAACGAACAATATTATATTTTTAATAAAAAAAGAATATTATATGAACAACTTATCTAAAAAACCGAATATGTGACGTATTATTAGAAATTTAGCATAATGTTAGTCTTACCAGTTAACATGGTGGTGCCTCCACTTCTCAGGTGGACATTATTTAATAAAATCACATATTTCGATTTATTTGATATAAATCACACACACCAACTTCTTGTGCTTGAAGAATATTTGCACAAACCAAAAACCTCTATATACTTTACTATTGTTTTTGAAATCACTAGTTTTCTTTTACATAGTTCATGCCAAAGTAATCTTTAAAAATAATACCAGAGTTGTCAAATTTAGTTCTCAAATTTGTTCACTAATTGATTTGTTAATATTAAATATGTTACTTGTAAGTACTAATACTAGATTTCTAGTAAACATATTTAAATCAATTTAATAATGACATTATTTTGCAAACGAAAATTGGTGAAATTTATTTTGTTAGTTTAAATTCGTGTATACACATTAACAAAATAAAATCGTGTATATAGACATATTAACATAGTTTTTGAAAATTGCTTATATTTTCTGTAGCATTTCAATAATTTCATTAAAATATTAATTTTGTTTAAATCAAACATAAACGCATGTTAAACATGTGTATGTGTACTTACTTTTCACGCATGAATGTTTCACATATTTTTTCAAGAAAGCTATCTTGTAATACTTTTAGTAACTATATTCCGTATTACCAAAACTAATGGTACTCAATTTTATTGCGTAAGGTATCTGTCTTTCCTTCTAAAAAAAAAGCTATTTGTTTTTTCAATTAAAGATGGGTCTTAGTAATTTCATTTTTTTAATAACTTTCTTTTTAAAGACATTTTTCTAATAATTAAAATAATAATTTTTCAAAATGAATTCTTGTCCTGGAAGTCATTTTCAAAATGAAAAAAAGTAAAGGAGGCAGATTCTCTCTACCCTTTCGTGCCCTTTTGTTTATGTGGTCACGGTTAAGCCACGTTAACATTTTATATTACTATTCCTTTTTGTCTTATTATATCTATAAAAAATAATAAAATGTTTACGTGGCTTAACCATGACCACACAAAATAGGAGGGCACATGAAGCGGAGGGCAGAGAATCTGCTTCCAAAAGTAAAAGTTGATTCCTTCCTCTTGTGCCTTCCTGTTTGTGTGGTCACGGTTAAGTCATGTCAACATTTTATATTATTATTCATTTTTGTCTTATTATCTATATAAAAAAATAATATAAAATATTAATGTGGCTTAACCGTGACCACACAAAACAGGAGGGCACGGTGGGAGGGCAGAGAATCTGCTTTTGTCAATATATTGACTATTTACAGAGACATTTGTCGTTGTCACCTTCACTACGTATCCTCACCATAGTCATCGTCTCCAATTTCTCCACTTACACACAATATTATATATATATATATATATATATTCATTTATATACACACACATATACATATACATATACATATACATATACAGAGAGCTTAAGGGGAGGGATCCCCATTTTTTGAAAAAAATGGGGATTAGGTGTGGGGCCCACTTCACATCTAATTTCAACGATCCAAACCGTCTATTTTGTTAGTCTCGATTCATAGATCATCCTTGCAAAAATTCAATTTAATCCGAAATCATTTGCCTATTTAATTATCAATATCAAATTTCATATTTTCTTATATATCAAAGTATTCGTTCATTTCCTTGAACCCAATTAGATGTCTTAAACATTTCCAATTTAGCTAATATTTTGCAAGGATGATCTATGAATCGAGACTAACAAAAATAAACGGTTCGGATCGTTGAAATTAGATGTGAAAGTGGGCCCCACACCTAATCCCCATTTTTTTTCAAAAAATGGGGATCCCTCCCCTTAAGCTCTCTGTATACATATATATGTGTGTGTGGTTGTAGTAATTTTCTTTTTGTCAAACAAAATATCTTCTTATCTTTTTCTTATTCAAAACTTATTCAAAAGGTTGTTTTCTAGAAGAAGTCATTGTTGTCCTTTATACAATGTTTTGCTTCCAAAACCAAACTCTCAAAAGTCCAAGTCAACATCCAAATTCATGAATTTGTAATTTCACACCAAATACACGTTTCTAAAATACCATCACGGGTGACTCAATGATTGGGACGAATTCCAACCTCATATTATACATGATACGTTTTAAGTTTGATTATTGACGCTAATAAATCACATAATAGTATATAAGGAAATGCTGAAATATCTTTATGAATCTTCTCAGCCCCTAAAAAATAAAATGAAAACTAAAAAAAAGTCCCAAAAAAACTTTAATTTTAATGAAAAATGACAAATAAATGTATAGTGAATAATACCAGGGAAAGGTAAAAATGTGGTTTTTTCGTTAAAAGTGAACAGTACCAGAAGTGTTTTTGTTAAAACTTCCAAAAATAAATTGTCGTGACAAAGCTACCAACTATTTTCCATTCTAAAAAAATTGAATAAATAGACAAAATAAAAAGAAGCGAAAGTGTATGAAATCCAAATGAAGCTCTAAGCGAATAGTATATATTAAAGGACAAAGTAGTTTACAACATCTAATTAACAACCCCCGGTTAATATATCATACGAAATGTTGGTTGTGAAATCAATTAGCATACGACTAATTGGAAAGAAAACAAGTTTTTAAGTAGAAAACCAACCATTTAATTAAACCTAGCTACTTAAAATTATAGCACTATCTACATTATAAGATTGGCTACTTATAATGTAGAACATATGGAAGAATGCATCCAAGAATAACGCAACTGATAAATATAAGTTCAACATGGTCCACAATCACTGTTATTGATATGTCTCAACTTAATCATCCATTAATAAGTGTTGAGTTTGATGTGGGGTCACACTGGAAACCAATTCCCACATTGAGAATGGGTCAAGTCATTATACCGAAGCTAATGCAACTTTTCAAGAGCGCGATCATCATTCACAGATTATGGTCGAGGATCTAGTTATTCAATATCCTTAAACTGGGTGCAATTTTTCGAAAACCCAACTTAAGAAGTCAAACTCAAGCCTAGTAAATGGAGGACTTGCTATGTTACCATGATAAACTTTGTAGCCTATGTGTCCACTACCGACATAAACGACATTATCCCAAGTTAACCACCTATTACTATGTATTGGGTTTTATCACAAAAGGGTCTTGGTGATATTAGGGGTGAAAACTCCCAAATATTAATTATGCATTATTTTGTTATGTAACAGATGTGGGATGGTATTCTCCAACAATAACAAGAGCAAATCCAACAAGACGATTCAAGCATTGTAGACTCCAATGTCTGATTTTGACCCAAGTATATTGTTGTTTGAATATTTGAATCATCAATTGACACTTTAATAAGCATCAAACACCCCCATCAATGGAACATTTTCTTGTTTCTCAAACATAGTCATACCCTCTTTTCTCTCCACTTGTTTCTCTACACTAGTGGAACATTTTCTTATCTACCTAAGGAGGGCAATAAAAATACAGAAGACCAATTGGGGTTAAAATTGACAAGCAATAATTTTTCCTGTTCATGTTTGTATATTTATCATCTTTTTTTTTTTTCAATTTTCATGAGGATTTTGGAAGAGGCCTCCCTTGAATAAATGATCTATAAAGCTCAAGAGCCTCTGTCCACCCTCCCATCTTCACACTATATATTTGGGACCTGGATTGTCTGCCCTCCTCATCTCATACCCTTCTCATTCCCTCATATTTATGCGACCACGGTTAAGCCACGTTAACATTTTATATTGATTTTTTATAGAAATAATAAGACCAAAAGCAATATAAATATAAAATGTTGACGTGACTTAACCGTGACCACATAAATAGGAGGGGATGGGAAAGGTATGGGATAAGGGAGGGCAGACAATCCAGATCCATATATTTGTACCATCTCTCCATAAGAGATGAGACTCACATGTATTGTGGGCCCTTCTTTATTAGATAAATGATACAAATATGTGTGGTAAGTGTAGCGTCACTCTTACCGTAATAAGTAAAGAGCTATTATCTGGATTTCGAAAAAAAAACATTTTGCACTTTCAAAATGCAAATTTTTTTCTTCGTATGGTATGCATGATGATTTGTTTGCAGTTATATTCTCAATTGGACCTTAAGATGTTGGGCCTCCACCCGAAAAACTAATTTCTTACTAACTTTATTTTGAATCTCAAAATCGACCAAAACCTGATCCTGACAAACCCAAAATTCGACCGTTGAAATTTTTTATATTCCTCATCCCAAACGGTAACCTCTCGCATCAAATTTGCACACTTCCTCTCAGTATTTAAATTCCACCTGAATTTATTAAAATTTGCAGTTCAATCTTCTCTCTCACACATCACACTATGGAGAATCTACCAGAAATGCCTCCTACGAGCCCGACTCAATCAGAGAAGATATTTTCCGAGTGCAAATCGCCACCGCCTCCACTCCAACACAAGGATGAAAATTCTCAAAACTCCGGCAACGATTTACGCAAAACCACCACGCCGGACCACCTTAAAGTCCCCAAGGCATTTAAATTCCCAGAAAGGTATTAAATCTTCCATTCATATTGTCATATAAGATTACTCTGCACACACACATATATATGTTATCGATAATATCTCGCTATTGATGCGGGTCTGTTCTTATTAGACATCCTATACACAAGATTTATGATTTATGTGTTATATATTTTCTTAAATTTTGTAGGTATACAAGCCCAACAGATATGAAATTGTCCCCTGTAACAAAAGGCCTTCTAGCCAGAAACAGAAAGGGTGGTGCCCTCTTGCCCCCTAGCAAAAATTTACTCAAACCTCCTCGAGGTACATACATACACACATACATACATATTATATCACTGCATGAACATTATTAAAAACTTGATGCAGGAAATTCAATTGGGTTTTTTTTTGGGTCACTGCTGCAGATTCAGGAGTTGCAGGTGTGGATGGTCCAGCTTCAGAAGTAAAGTTTGGGTGCAATAATTGAAGGCTATGAGGAGAAGCACTTTTGGGACTTTTTATCCAACAGCTTTTTTCTTGTTTTTTGTTTCAGCTTTCACTGTTTCAAACTTGGTGGAATTTGATGCATTTTGGAACAGTTGTGTTTCTGGTGATGAGATTTTTCAACGTGTCCTCAATTCCTCATGCTCACTCACTCATGTTTGATTGTACCAAAAACTTGTGTCAATGATTTTGTACTTGCCCTTGTACTGGTTGAAACCATGCCTTGTTTCTGTTAGAATTCGAGCTTTCGACTCAAAACCAATTGATAATGTGTGTCTAGACAGAAGACCGTTTATGCACTTTATGTCAGACTCTTATCTCTAATGTGGGATACTCTCAACATGTCTCTTTAGTTTCTTGAGTCTAACACGTGTTCAGTTTTTATTAGGTGAAGTGAGAACTCATATATGCTCTTCTAGTAGGATGTTACAATGTGGGATAATCTTAACATGTCTCTTTAGTGTCTCGAGCCTAACACGTGTTCAATTTTTATTAGGTGACGTGAGAACTACAAAATAAAATTAACAAGAGGGTGTAGTTGTTACAGTTTGTGATTATGCTTTGTTAACTACTAATTTCAGTAAATACAATCAAACTCTCAATTCTTTGAGCCAAAAGAAACTTTTAATCTTCAAGGCTTGAATGATTTTCTCAGCTCATCCTCTGAAACAAACTTCTCATCCTCTCCTGGCTCCAGTAACACATAAGTTTCACTGTTATGGTATATATCCTTCTCCGCCTCACTGCACAAACCTGTCCAAAAATTGGAACACAAATTTTAAATCTAGGATTTCATGCTGAAGTAAAAACTTGTTCTCGTTGATTCAAGCGGTATTCTACTTTAATTGAATCTTAACTATGGGAAGGGAGATATCCATTCTAGCCAACATGACTACGTCTAGGTTTGCAGGGAGGGGGGGGGGGGAGCACATCGGCTCTAGCCAACATGACTACGCTATGTTTGCTGACGAAGTACTTCATGTACTCAGACTCATCATTTTTTCGTGTCGGCATTAATTGAATTACGGGAGCTCGAATCCGGCTCTTTGTACCTTCTGTGCCTGCAATTATAGTGCTGTTAGTGATGTTAGAATACAGCGTTTTGTATAACTAAAGTTAGCAACATCATCATTGCCTGCAGCTTACTCATAAAACATTGTACGGCCATTGGGAGTCACCGGTTGTATACAACTATGTGCATGTCTCTCTTATCACGTAACCATGATTGTATCAGTCGGTGGTAGGACATGATTGTTCTAAGATATATATACATTTAGTTTCAAAAGGTCTAAGATATAAAAGAGAGTACAGCTTACAGTTAAAAGCCAGAAATCCACCATGGAATAACTGTTTCTTCTAAACTCCTTCCACTGGAACCATTTTTCCTGCAAATTCCAAATCCAAAAGCATGTGAATCAAAACAAGATCTTGCAGATAGCATGCTAAAACTCAGCCTCTGGTAGTCTAAACTTGTCACCCTCATATTCCATTGTATTTCCAATTCTACCCCTCCCATCCCTCAGAGGCTCAGACAATTTTCATTTGGGCTTCAAAATGGGCCTACCCCACAAGTGGGCCAACTTCTAGACCCTCTTCTTTTCTTTCCCGCGTGAACCGGTTAGTTCGTTAATTTAGCATTTTGGTTCACAAGAGTTCCAGTCAGTTAATCAGTTAGTAAAAATGGCGACAGAAGACCTTCCATCTGATCCGTTGGTTACTTTTGTTTCACAATAACAAAGTAAGAAACCCTCCGAGGTTGTCTCCCACCCCTTTTTAGCTCCTTTATTTCTCTCTTACTCTCACCCCAAACTCCTTTTCTTCCCAAACCCAAATTGTACCATCTTTTGAATCACAACCATTGTGATGTTCAAGGGTATTCAACTTTTATGTTAAAGAGCTCCTGGGTTTGATTTGATTTACGGGTTCAACATCGAAAAGGGTTTTTGAAGATTCAAGTAACGGCCTTTTGTTTATATGTGATGATTATTTTGGTTCTCCATTTAGTGGTAAGTTTGCTGCTCAAAACCCAGTTTCCAGAATCTAAGATATGCATCTCTATAGGGTTTGATTTGTGATTAACCCTTATGCATGGTTCAAACCAAGATTAGGGTTTTGCTTGCAATTTTAAAAGATTGAGCCTCTCTGATTGTAAAAATATATGATTGTGATGATTTTTCTTCTTCTATAATCTACTCTAATTTACGGGGAGTGGGATTAAAACTTGGTAAAACAAGGTATGCATACTACCCTGCCAACTGGCCTAGTCTACGTCTGCATATGGTTACAATGTTTAAAGTGCTACCATATGTGAAAGTATGCTTGTGATGTTATTGAAACGCTGCATTTAGCTCTCAACGTGTTTGCATGAAGTCGAGTAATTAACCATATTTGATATTGTTCATACCATGCAGTTAAATATCAATTATTGTTGATGTGCTCTTTCCTTTCTGTTGTCACATTGTGTATAAGTAGTTAATTATTGTTGATATTGTTCATATCATGCAGTTAAATAACAATTAGAGACAGGCAAAGGAGATTTGATTCTCTGAAGATAATCAACTGTTGCAAATTATAAAGTCATGGATGATGCATATAGGGATGCAAGTGGTAGTAAGCATCCAAGGGTGCATTTTGAAAGCGATCTGGTTAATCACCACCGAAATTCAAGCTTCCCATCATCCTCGTCATCATCACCATCGTCCTCATCATCGTCATCTCCACGTTCATCGCTGGAATCATCTGTCAATGGTACAGAAGGTGGTAACAATCCCTGCGTAACAACGACACGACCAGACCACGAGTCTCAGGGGGCTCTGTCATTACCAGAGGGTTATTCTTCTCCGATTCTGCCTTGGAGCATGCAAAGCGGATCATCCGCGCAATCCTCTCAGTTTCAGATGATGGGAAGGCCTGCAGGATATGACCCGAGTCGAATCCCATCGAATATTTTTTCCAGTAAACCGGCAGCAGGCATGGATTGGAGTGTTGCTTCAAATGAATCATTATTTAGTCTTCATGTGGGGAACAACAGCTTCTCGAGAGATCAGTTTGCTTTTCTGAATAAATCCGGAGAGCTTTATAAATCCGGTGAACTGACGCGGCATGATGAATTATTCTACATTCCAACTCCACTTCCCACAGTTACTGAGGCAGAAACTATTGAAATTAAGATTCACAATGTGGAGAAAGAGAAGGTTGAAAACAAGGCTCCGAACGTGGAGGCAAAAATCGAGGAAAATGAGAGTGCAAATGTGGAGATATATAAGGTTGAAAGCGTGAGGGAAAATGTGGAAAAGGAATCAGTAGAAGAAACAGAAGGACCAGATGAATCCGCAAAGACAGAAGCCATAAAACCCAAGGAAATCTGGAATTCTGTCGCTTCATACCGGTCTGATGGGAGCAATAACAGCACCAAGTCATTCCGGTTCCCAGTGTAAGCATTGTTAACTTCATTCCTTGCAGTTAGGATTATCCGGTATTTGTTCATGGCAGGAATAGAATACTTGAAAATTATTGCATATGGTTCTTGCACGGCAGACATTCTCAGTGCAAGACGTCCACCCTTTATTCAAGGAAGGAGCTAGAAATGTTTTTGACTGGGGGCGTCCTAAAACAACCAAGTAAAATAATGGGTGTTAAGTTGTTGAGGGTCAAGTACAATGAAAAATCTCTAAATTAAAAAGTTAAATTTTAAATTGTAATGCCACAAACGAATGGACGAAGTAAATTCATATAAAATACTTTGCAGAGTAAATTTCTTATATCAAGTTATGATGCTTCATCGGTTGAATCCAATCTATTTATGAAACCCCCAGTTCAATTGAGTTTGATTTAGGTTAGAAAACGTGAAATATTCGGAATCAAAATCAAAAATTTTATTGTTGTTTTAATTGTCATGACAATTTTTTTCATCGCCCAAAAATCTGAGTGGAGGCGGATGCCCCCTCTGGGCCTTAGGTAGCTCCGCCCTTGCCTTTATTAAAGGACGGATTTGTATCAATGTGGTCGATATGTATCAATAAATTGTCAGTACGCTTGAACTGATAGCAGTTGGTGTTTTTCAGGTTGGCAGGTCATGAGGTTGAAAAAAATATCCCTGCAGAGATGGACTCAGGAAAGCTAGAGTCAGAGCCGCACGCACAGCAGGAGATGCATAAGCAAGTAGAGCACGAAGCCCCCGAAACACCCCTAAATGTCGCCACAACTCAACCAACCAGTTGGTTTTCGTGCTTCTGTTGTTGCACCCCCTGCCGTTGATCTAAAAAGCCTTCCTAGGTAGATGCTTTGGATTTCAAAGTTGCTTCCTTGCCAAGTTTCAAAGAACCTCAAGGCTTGTCCAAGTGGTGGAGTTCCCATTAGGTTAGGTTTGGGTTGAAGAGAAGGCCATAGAAAATGAAGAAACCAAAAGAGCGATGAACAAGTGAGAGTTGATGTACATAGAGATCTGCACTATATGATGTTTAATGGTATATTGAAAACTGTTGTATATAGATCTATATCATGTACATAAAGCAATAGGTTCTTCACTTTACACTATTATTTATATAAAGGAGTTTTAACAAAAAGCTTCTGGTACTGTTCACTTTAACGAAAAACCATATTTTTACACTAAAAAGTCAATCATGGTACTATTCACTTTACCCTTTATTTTGTCCTTATCATTAAAACTCAAAGTTTTCAAACCACTTTCATAAGTTTTCATTTTATATAATCCTGCTTAAAAAACATGTCTAACTTTCCTTTGGTTTAGTGCCTATATGGTGAATTATTAATTGAATTCTCTAAATTTTTGTTTTGCACGCAATAACTAACAGAGATAACATGGTCATTTTAAGCTTAGTTCAAGGGCCAATTAAGTTTCAGTCCTTAAAACATTTCACCGATGCACATAGGCAAATATAGTAAAATATTGAATAAAAACCTTGCTTTCGAGTAAGATTGATAACAAACGTAACCACAATAGTATTACCAAGAGTTTCTTCGTCAGATAACTAAAATTGACATATACCCCCGCAAGGAGAATCTCTGCAATTCATTTACGTTTATGATATATCGTACCACTATATTATAATACGTGCTTTGGTAATAAGCGTGTGATATACAACTACTACTAGGTGTTTAGTGTGCAAGTTAGAGAACGTCACTCCTACATCGGGATTGTGTAATCTACATGTTCAAAATTCAAATTTAGAGAACGTCATTCCTACATCAGGATTGCGTAGTCTACATGTTCAAAATTCAACATATTAAGTTGGCCTTTTCTTATGAGGTCAAGGTGTGAACTTTCTGTTTAGGAACTTTAGGTACATGACAAAAGAGCTAAAAAGCATTATTTCTGGATGCTGAGAAAAGCCTACAATTTATATAATCAGTTTGCTTTCTTCACTAGAGTATGTTTTTCTTCAATAGAGTATGTTTATGGAATAGGATCCTCTTCGGATTCTCTTCGGATCCTTTTTATCTAGATATCCTAGATATTTTATTTTTGTCTGTTCAATAAAAAATCAAACAGCCAAGAAAACGATCAAACGGCCTGGACACAATTGAAATGAGAAGAAGCTGCGATGGTAGCAGCGGCCATGGGATCCTCCACATCGAGATCCGCGACGCTGGTGTTGACGACGACATCATTGGAATCGGAGTCGTTATCAATTTTTTCACGGCACTGTACGAGGAAGGAGAAGAAGCTTCAATGACTTCGCGGCCCTGCTCGAGGTAAGGCATGTAGGCAATCTTGAAGGTCCGGAGGATCCGGATGGAAGGGATCTAGAGATGATCCTTTCCCTATGTACATACGTGCATCAATCCTATGCCCACCATCCACAACTCTATACGATTTGATCAGGTTTGAGTATCTGAATTATTTTGTAATAAATAAGCAGTATCAATCTTGTTTAGAATCGAGAAACCAATCACACATGCACAGTTCTTGGAACAAAAAAGAAGTTTAAAAGCAACAAAAAGACATGAACATTCAGAGCATTATGATCATTAGGTTACTTGCAACACTAATCTTCAATGCCGTAGTAATAAATCTAAATCACTTGCGTCACAAGTCTCGTGCTAAGCAGAATCGATCTTAACCACGAAATAAGGGATCACAACCTTTATGTGGTGGAGGGTTCACATGCACTTCTCTACCTTTCATGTTCTTTTGAGATTTTTCTCTTATTTTGGGTAAAAGTAGCAAGTACATACCATATCTCTATCAATCGCGTTCCAAGCTTGTAGCTTTCCAAAAAATTAAATCACATTAAATCATAGATATGGACGGCCGTGGCTCCATGAGCTAAAATCCCAGTGGAATCCAGTACATACACATTGGCTCCCCACCCCCTCCTTTGCCCATCTGGACCTCATCCGCACTAGAGTAAGGAAGACCCCCAACAACCCATCAAAAGGTCTTGTGGGCCCCACTCCTCCCTTCTGGAAGGACATCCCACGTGGTTTCCATCTTGTGCAGCCACGTGTGTAGAGGTCTTCATCAGCCTTGATGAGTCTTTTTTCCCTCTCTTCCTTCCCCTTTCTCACTCACTAAACCACATATATATGGTCTCCTCAAGGACGGTCACCTTACTACAATAAAATGTGTTTGTTCTGGTATTTCAAACTAATCAAACGATATTTGTGTGTTAAGTTAAACAACATGAAGACTTGTGACATCGTTAAGTGTCTCAATAGCATGCAAGTTTATTTCTAAACTCAAAAAAGAAACTTAAGAAATACTCGATCGTAGTAGTATTTTTTAACGAGTTATGCACTTGTAGTTAAACTGAATATCTGTAATAGTATCTTAAACTAATTATACGCTTTTGCATAAGCGAAACATCTAACATTCCGTTATCTGTTGACGAAAGCATTACTGATATGCTTTTGTGTAAACGAAACATCTAACATTCCGTTATCTGTTGACGAAACCGTCACAGTAACGCATCCGATGTAAGTCCGCCATTACGAGTGCATTTATTGTCCGGCGGTGGACCCCATTCCCTCTATGGTCCCAACACCCACCAAATACGACAATACCGTGAAAATGTAAAGAATTTACCTTTTTTTTAAATAAAAAAACGGACGAAGGCACGTGAAACGGAAAAAAAAAAAAAAAAAAAAAAAAAAAAAAAAAAAAAAAAAAAGAAAAAAGAAGAACGCGTTTTCTTCCCAAAAGAAACACAGCTGAATGACTCCTCCGCTCTCTCTCTCTCTCTCTCCTCCTCCGCTCTCTACCTCTCTCTCATCAGGGACCAACAAAATTAGGGTTAGGTTTCCATAAACCCCTTTTTACTCTTTCTGTGCAAGTCCAAGGGAAGGAAAGGGTTTTTGGGGTTTTGATCTCTTGGGTTCCGGAGACCCTTTTCTCTGCGGCAGGATCGACATGAATTCCCCAATTTTCAAGAGGAATACGCAGTCTCTGAGCAAAATCCGAGTAGCGGCACCGCGCCGGTAGCTTTCCACTGTTTCGATTTGAATTTCAGGGCAAGAAAAAAAAAAGCAGATTTCAAAGGAAAGTCAAAGGATTTTACTCCCACTGATGCGAGGTACATATAGTCTGATGTTAAATTTACCAAAAATTTTAGGTTTGGATTTAGTTCATAGTTTTGGGAGGTTTGACTGTTTCGGTAGAGCATTAGTGAAAGCAGTCGTTTTGTGTCCGTACAGTTGGTAGTGGGAAATGAAAATTGCCCTGTTAATTTGTTGCAGCCGCCATGGCCTCCGAAAGACGGCATTCATGTAAGAGCAAGAAGCGGTCGAGCTACTGACGAATTATAGTCATAATCTAGCTGAAATTGTAAGAACTGTGAGTTAAATTTCAATGCTTTTTCGAATCGTTATAGTGTTGAGTCATTTCCTTAATTTCAAGCTGAAATTGTGTGTGATTTTGTAATTTTTGCAGTGAACCGCTTAACTGAAAGAGTTTTTGAGATATGGGTTTTTCTCTATCTTCCTCTTCGGTCATCAAAGGACATGTTTTTCGCAGACCCACTTCTCCAGTGTTTGTTCTGAAGCTTGTTTTGCTCTTGTGGGTGTTCTTTACTTCTCAGAACTGTGCTGTTCTCGCTGATACTGACGCATCGGTGCTTCTTGAGCTAAAAATCTCTGTCTTGGATCCGTCGGGCTTGCTTTCTGGCTGGGATGGTCGGCTCAATTCTGGTCATTGCTCATGGCCTGGCGTCTTCTGCAACTCAAATTCTCGGGTGGTTTCACTCAACATTACTGGGAATGGAGGAGAAACCGAAGGTAGATCGAAAACTATTGCATGCTCAGATTTTGCTCAGTTGCCGCTTTATGGATTTGGAATCAGGAGGAGCTGTGAGGGTAGTAGAGGAAGATTGGCTGGGAAGCTCCCGCCTGTAATTGGTAAGCTCACTGAGCTTAGGGTTTTGTCCCTCCCCTTCAATGGTTTTGAGGGTGAAATTCCTAGTGAAGTTTTGGGCTTGGAAAATTTGGAGGTTCTTGATCTTGAGGGAAACTCGATAACTGGGTCGCTGCCCTTTCCGCTTAATCCAAATTTGAGGGTTCTTAATCTGGGGTTTAATAGGATTGAAGGTGAGATACCGACCTCGTGGTCAAATTATATGAGCCTAGAGATCTTGAATTTAGCTGGGAATCTCGTAAACGGGACAATTCCAGGTTTCATTGGTAGGTTAAAGGCGGTGTACTTGTCATACAATTCACTTAGTGGAGATGTTCCCAGCGAGATTGGAGCCAAGTGTGGGAAGCTTGAGCATCTTGATTTGGCGGGTAATTTCTTGGTTCATAAAATTCCAAGCAGTTTGGGAAATTGCAGCCAGTTGAGGACGTTGTTGCTGTATTCAAATATGTTTGAAGAGGGTATTCCAGCTGAACTTGGACGGCTTCAAGCTCTGGAAGTGTTGGATGTGTCGAGGAATAGCCTGAGTAGTTCATTACCACCCGAGCTGGGGAATTGTTCTCAGTTGTCTGCCCTTGTGCTGTCATCTATGTTTAATCCACTTCCACTAGTCAATGATACTGTAGTGGACTCTTTGCTGGAGCAGTTGAATGCTATGAGTGACGACTTCAATTACTTTCAAGGTACAATGCCTGTAGAAATTACAACCCTTCCAAAGCTAAGGATCTTGTGGGCACCAAGGGCAAGTATTGAGGGCACTTTCCCAAGCAATTGGGGTGGTTGTGAGTACTTAGAGATGATCAATTTGGCTCAGAACTTTTTGACTGGGGAAATTCCTAGCGGACTTAGTCGCTGCAGGAACCTTCAATTTCTTGACGTGAGCTCTAACAGGCTTAGTGGGGAGCTTTTTCAGGATCTTCATGTTCCTTGTATGGATATGTTTGATATCAGCGGAAACATCTTGTCAGGTTCAATACCTGAATATTTCAACAAAACTTGTGGTTCTCCTTTGAGAGATTTTTCTTTCAAGTATGAGGATCCGTCCTCACACTATGTAGCATTTTTTGCTTCTAAATCCCAAGTTGGAAACCCATTGCAAATGCATGGGGAGGTTGATGGTCTTATAGTAGCACACAACTTTGCGCACAATAATTTTACTGGCACTTTGCAGACACTGCCTATTGCACCTGAAAGACTTGGGAAGCAAACTTTTTATGCATTCTTTGCTGGAGAAAACAAGCTTTCTGGAGAATTTCCAGGTAACTTATTTGGCAAGTGTGAGGGATTGGAGTGGCTGATTGTTAATGTTAGCACAACAAGTTAGAAGGTCAGATTCCTGCTGAATTTGGCACTATGTGCAAATCTCTTAAAGTTTTAGATGCATCTCGGAATCAGATGGTTGGTCCTATTCCCCCTACCATTGGGAAATTGTCTCTTGTCGCCCTTAATTTGAGTTGGAACATGTTGAAGGGTGAAATACCAACCAGTCTTGGCCAGATAACTGATCTGACGTATCTATCCTTATCTGGCAATCTCCTTACAGGTGTCATTCCGTCTAGCTTGGGGCAGCTTTCCTCTTTAGAAGTGCTTGAACTTTCTTCAAACTATCTCACTGGCGAGATACCAAATGATCTTGTGAATCTGCGAAACCTGACTGCTCTTCTGCTGGACAAGAATAATATTTCTGGTCAGATTCCATCTGGATTGGCAAATATGACCACACTGTCATCTTTCAATGTGTCTTTCAATAACATATCAGGTTCACTGCCTGCGAATAATAACCTGATGAAATGCAGTGCTGCTATTGGAAACCCAAATCTACACTCTTGCCCCATGTTGTCTCAGACACAGCCAGCTTTGGATTCCCAAGGAAGAGTTGGCGATTCACAACCTCTTGCTGCTTCACCAATGGGAGGTCCAGCTCAGAGGAGTGGGAATGGTTTCAGTCCAATTGAGATAGCATCCATTACATCTGCATCGGCCATAGTTTCAGTGCTGCTTGCTCTTGTTGTTCTGTTCTTGTATACACGGAAATGGAATCCAAAGTCTGGAACTCAAGTGTCTACCCGGAAGGAAGTTACAGTTTTCACAAACATTGGGGTTCCGTTGACCTTTGAGAATGTTGTGCGAGGCACAGGAAGTTTCAATGCTAGCAACTGCATCGGGAATGGAGGTTTTGGAGCTACCTACAAGGCAGAGATATCACCTGGAATCGTGGTGGCAATTAAACGGCTTTCAGTTGGAAGGTTCCAAGGAGTTCAACAGTTTCATGCAGAAATTAAAACCCTTGGTAGGCTTCGGCATCCAAATCTTGTCACTTTGCTTGGTTATCACGCCAGTGATACAGAGATGTTTCTAATATACAACTATTTGGCGGGTGGTAATTTGGAAAAGTTTATTCAGGAAAGGTCTACAAGGGCTGTGGATTGGAGGGTACTTCACAAGATTGCTTTGGACATAGCCCGTGCACTTGCCTACCTACATGATCAATGCGTACCACGTGTTCTTCATCGGGACGTCAAGCCGAGCAATATTTTGTTGGATGATGATTTTAATGCGTATCTCTCAGACTTTGGTTTGGCCAGACTTCTGGGAACTTCAGAGACTCATGCTACTACCGGTGTTGCTGGAACGTTTGGATATGTTGCCCCGGAATATGCAATGACTTGCCGAGTTTCAGATAAGGCTGATGTATATAGTTATGGCGTTGTGCTACTGGAGTTACTCTCTGACAAGAAGGCACTGGATCCCTCCTTCTCTTCGTATGGAAATGGATTCAACATCGTTCAGTGGTCATGTATGCTTCTTCGGCAAGGCCGGGCAAAGGAATTCTTCACCGCTGGGTTATGGGATGCAGGTCCCCATGATGACTTAGTAGAAGTTCTTCACTTGGCAGTAGTGTGCACGGTTGACTCTCTCTCAACTAGGCCTACAATGAGGCAAGTTGTACGACGGCTTAAGCAACTTCAGCCTCCATCTTGCTAGCTGCTTTACAAGGTTTGTAGTGGTTAACATTAGTAGTCTGTAGAAAGAGGAGCTCCATTTGTCACATGTGCCTGCGCATTCGGTGCGCTTTGGTGACACTGGTGCTAGGTTGATTTCTAAACCTTAGTGATCCAACTTGTACATTGTATGATAGTTCTGCCCCCAATTTTTTTCAATGTTTCTTCTCCGAATAGGGGCCTGGCCAGCGAATCTGCAGAAGAATGCAGATATTCCATTTCCTCGTCTTATACGTGTATATTCAGCTTCATTTGTTCAATAAAACATAGAGTTGATATGTTTTCTGGAAATTATAGAAACTTTTTAGCATCGTCAAGTTATTCATATCTGTTTTATGATGCGCAGAAATGGTCGGTCATTGACCTATCCAAGGATCGAGGAACAAATCACACATGCATCAACATCTTCAGTTCTTTGAACGAAAACGAACTTTAAAAGCGACATAAAGACATGGACACTTACAGTATCATGATCATTCGCTTGCGACATTTATAACATACATGAGCATGCAATCGTCTTTAAAACACTGATCACCAATGCCGGAATACTGATTCTCAATCACTTGCGTTACAAGCCTCTTGCCAAGCAGAGTCGATCTTAACTACAAAACAAGGGATCAGAATCTTTCTTTGGTGGACGGAACACATACGCTTCCCTAGCCATTCGTGTTCTTTTGGGATTTTTCTCTTGTACACACGCATTGGCCCTCCCTCCTTTGCCTGTCTGGACCTCGTCAACAACACTAGGGTATGTCCCCAACGTCCCATCTAAAGGTTTTGTGGGCCCCACTCCTCCCTTCTGGGAGGACATACCACGCGGGTTCCTTTTTCTTCGGCCACCTGTGCAGAGGTCTTCAGTCTTGAGGAATCCTTTTTTCTTCTTATTCCTTCCCTTTCTCACTCACTTATAAATCTGGTAAGTTTTTACACAATCCGTTAACAAGACACGTAAAGAACCCGTTAATAACAGATCTTTAACAGATTTACACAAGAATGACAAGCAAGTAACCCATTCTGATACGTTAAGAAAAAAAATTATTTTGATGATTTTAATTTTTTAAACTATTAAAAAAAACTTGCTATAAAGTACAATAGCCGTAGTGTATATGTAATTATGTATATATGGTGTATTAAAAATGTATTATTATATATAAATTTTAATATTTTAAGATTTATTATTTATTTGAGTAAATTACACAGTAACCCTTCAGGTTTGAGGTATTGCACAAACTCATACAACATCTTTAAAACATTTCACTTTCATACCTTATGTACCATTTTATTTCAAAATAATACCTTCGTTACATTTTTCATCCATTAATCCGTTAAATGCTGACGTGGCAGCCACGTGACAAATTTTTTTTTATTTTTAAAAAAAAAAACCTAAATCTTCTAAATAAATATTAAAAAAAAAAAAAAAAAAAAACTGAAACCTTCCCTTATCCTCCTCTCCAAAGGGAAGGAAAAAAAAACCCATATCACGTCTACGCCGCCATCACCGGGTTCGTGAGTTGGAATCGGGTGCAAGGGTAGGTGCGGGTGCTAGGGGAAGACGAACTGGGTTGTTTTTTTTTTTTTTTTTTTTTTTTGGGTTGTAGGAAGGTGTTTTGGGGGAAGAAGATGAACATGGAGGAATGAGAAGGGGAAGGAGAATGGTGGGGTGGGGTGAGGGTAGGGGTGGGGGTTTGGGGGGTTATCATTTATGGGCTTCTGGTTTGAGGGGGACGCGGGTGGGGTGGGGTGGGGGGGGGGTACGGGGGTGGTTTATTTCAGTTTATTTTTTATTTTTTATATTTATTTAGAAGATTTAGGTTTTTTTTTTTTAAATTAAAAACTTTTTTTTGCCACGTGACACACATTTGGCAGCCATGTGGTAGCCACGTCAGCACTTAACGGATTAATAGATGAAAAATGTAATGGAGGTATTATTTTGAAATAAAATGGTATGTGAAGTATGAAAGTGAAATGTTTTAAAGATGTTGTATGAGTTTGTGCAAGACCTCAAACCTGAGGGGTTACTGTGTAATTTACCCTATTTATTTTTATAGTATACCATAGGCAAAGAGTGAGATTAAAAAAATTATAAGACACATTAGAAATAAAAATATAATTTAAAAATACCAAATGCAACTCTCTTCATTTTGCATATCCTTGAACATTTGGTATTTGTAATAATATACTAATGTTTTTTCATTAGGCTCTTATTTTGGGGTATGTAAACTTGATAGACAAATGTTTTGTTTTATTTTATTTTTTATTTTAATGTTTTGAAGTAATTTACGTGGCAATGTGGCATGCATATACTAATTTAGTATTGTATTTTTCAATTTTTTTTTGTAAAATTATGTTTTGCATTTTCATTATTTATTGATTTAAAATATATCTTCTTTAACATGTAACATGTCGGGTCATATTACCTGATAATATTAACGGGGGGTCATATTACTCGTTTACTTTAACGGGTATTACACAACACGACCGGTTAAGGTATCAGATATGTCACGAAAATGACACGAACACAAAAAACACGACACGAATGAGAAGTCTACTCATTTAACAACAAAGAGCTTTCGCAAGGAGAATCACCTTACAACAACCAAAATGTGTTTGGAGGCGTTATTTCAAATTAATCAATCAATGTTTATGTGGTAAGTAAAAAAAATTCAACAGCCACCAAATACAACAAAACCATGAAAATATAAGAGCCTGTTTGATATCCTATAAAAAAAATTCATCATTTCTCAAAAACACTTCTCAAGAATATCTCTTAACAACTCTTGAAAATAATTTTTTTAAGACTCAAAAACTTGTTTAGTATGAGATTTAAAATTGGTTTTATATCTTAAAACTTAAACTGGACACAAAAATCCAAAGAGAGAGTCACATGAAAGGGAGAATGAGGAAAGAGGAGGAAATAAACAAATAGAGGATCATATAAGAGAAAAAGACGAGATAAGATCAAAGGAGATAGATAGGAGGAGAGAAAGAAGAAAAAAGAAAGAAAATGAAGAGAATGGAATGTAGGAGAGAGAAAATTGAAAAAAACAATGAGAAAGAGGAGAGAGAATAAAAAAGACAGTGGATTTTAAGTTTAAAATATTTTGGTGCTTTTGGAGAATTGATTATTTTTTAAGTTAATATGAGTTTAATTTTTTAAAAACAGTCGTGCCAAACAAAAGTTTAAGGCTTAAAACTCAAAAAGTACTTTTGAATTAAAAAAGTTGAATTCAAATAGAATGATGGGTAAATCCTAAAAAAATTTAACTTTAAAAAGAATGGAAAAAACAAAGTAGAGGAGGAAGAAACATGTAATAGAAAAAGAAGAGAATGTTGTAAAATCGACTGTATGTGTGCGGTGGAACATAAAGTAGACGAGACACAATATTTACGAGGTTCGGCAAGTGTGCCTACGTCCTCAGGCAGCAGTAATACTTTCTTTCATTACGCGAAATAATAGGAGTACAAAGATAACTCTCACTATTTTCTTTCTTCTCTCTAGCCCAGCCACTGGTATTTTATTTTGTATCACTCTTCTTTCTTTTCCTCTTCTCCTCTATTATTTTCTTTCTTTCTTTTCTCTTCCTTCCGTATGTGTCTTTCTTCCACATGCTCCTTTGTTTTATAGGCAAAACAAGAGCACTGAAAGCAAGCAGCAGCAGCTCTTAGTGGAATGGCATGTTATGGAGGACAACCTTATTTCCACTTGCTTGTTTAGTGGACAACTATCTTGATTCCTTTGTTGAGTGGACATCTAATATTTACAACACTCCCATTGGATGGCCATATGTTAATATTGGCCACCTCGTTAAAATCTACAGAGGACGGTGCCATTCCACCAACGAACCTAGACACATATAGAGACCACTTAGTAAAACTCTACTAAAATGGTTGAATTTGGATAAACAAACAACGGATTTGGATTCGGATTTGGCACGTCGAGAAACCTAAGGAGGGACCTCGGGTTCTTTCACACGCCACCACGAGGCAGCGGCTCGAAAAGCCACGTGCCACCACGCACCTAGTTGACCTGTCGAAAAGTTCATCGGAAAAGTCTACGGCGGTAGAGGCGCATGTGCTCCATGTCCAGGCCATGACTATTCTCCACGTGGACCCACATGCAGCCCACGCGTCGACATATGATCTGGGTTTTAGGCTCGGGTCGGGTCGGATCCAAATCGGATCTGGGCTTGGGTTGCTAGGTTGGGGCGGGTAGCTAGGTTAGGCTAAGTAGTGGGTTTTGGATCTGGGTTCTAGGTTAATGGATTGAGCCTGGGCTTGGTCCGGGATACATGGTCCAAGGGTTTGGGCTGGTTTGGGATTACGGGTCGGGTCAATTCGATTTCAGGTTGTGGTTCGGCCAGACTCTACGAAGAAGAAAGCCGGAGCTTCCCAAGCTCCGATCAACCCCAAAAGTTAACTAAAACTAGTCATTCAATATACCAATTTGAAGCCTAAAAATAACAAAGGGTTAGTCGGAAAATAGCCTACAAGTTTTGGGTTCTCATCGGAAAACTAGGGAACTTTCCTCCAAGGTGTATTTCTATGTCAAACGATACAATGAGGCCAGAAACAACATGAAATTATGATCTAGGAGAACCCACATCGGTTTTGAAGCTTACCTTGCTCGTAATTGATAGTCAACATGAAATTGATAGTTCGCCGAGAACTCAACGGGAAAGTCGGGACATCGAGACACCATGTTCTCAGCCTGGGTTCAAGACACCGAGATTCCTAAGATGATGGTGGTCTCGGTGGTGTTGTCGAAGAGGGAGGGATAAGGAAGAGATGAAGAATGTTTATTGGGAAGAGACAAAAAGAGAGAGATGTCACGGGAGAGAAGAATGAGACACCACAGAAATGGGAAAGGAAATTGCCACGGGTCAGCACATGAGTGACCCAAAGTGGTAAGTATCTCCACTTCAAAAATTACCAAAATGCCCTTATCGTTTTGAGTTTCGTCAAATATTCGTTCTAACTTCAAATTCGATTCCACTTGATTCCATACGTTTGTGACGACGAGTATTATAAGGATACACCAAGGAAAAGAGCCTTACGTGTCACAACATGGCAATAAACAAAAATTAACGTTTTTACCTCGAAGGGCATTTTTGTAATTTCATGCTATAAAATTATAAAAACTGTAATATTTGGAAACAGGTCATTACATTGAGACTTCAATCCATGAGGCAACTCTGTAACTTGTAATCAATTAGTAATTTTCATTACCTTTTTGTACATCATGTGAATTATATAAACTGATAGTGTTTGTTGGGGTTGTGAGTAGGATTCCATCATTGAACTTTAGCCTTCCATTCACTTAGTTAGCCACCATTTTTTTCCTTTTGGACTTCTATGGCCTCATCGTTGATCTTTCTGCTTTAGTCTCTTGCACAGTAGAAGTGGTGCGCAACCTTTGCCCTAGGATGGTCCATCACTTCTTGGTGACTCATCCATGCTTGGCATCTTTAGTGTAAAGAGCCAATAGCGTACTAATTATTCTGCGATGTTGGTGACTTGAGACCTAGCTCCAACAATAGTTGAAGATGACTACTCGAGAGCAATGCAAGGAAAGCAATCTGGGAAAGGTCCTAGGAAGTCAGTTCCTGACTGGAAGTTTGATTTCAGGTTCTAACTGATTGCTTTCTTTCTCTTTGCCTTGCAAGTAAGAGCAAGGGCAAAGAAAAAGATAGGGAAATAGCATGATATGAGATACTCTTGTTCTTGACCATGATGATATGAGATACTTTTGCTCTTGAAGATAAACAGTAGAAGGATTTGATGTTGATGTAAACCTTCTCGATCGAAATGGGTTTCTTGCTGAGAAAGTGAGTTTGACATTTTGAAGGACATGGTTGAACAAGTGTTCAAGAGAAGGAAGACTGAATATGTTGAAAGTTTTGGCTGCAGATGCATTCTCGGCAAGGAAGATGAGTTAGGCGTTTTGGAGGTGTGCCTTGCCATGGAGGATGAAGGTCGACATATATAGGGATTTCCCAATTGCAGGTAGTGGTGCGAATGTGGCCTTGTCACCCACGATTGTTGGCAACAGTGGTGTAGTTGGAATAATTAACTTTATGCATTTTAACTTTGCCAGAGATATTTTGACAAAGTTGTCATTGATATCCTGAAAGCTGAGATTGCATCTGAGAAGTGTTGATGAACTTTATTTAGGAAAATCCGGTTTTTAAAATTCAGAAAGCGATATCTCTTCGATTTTTGAACATGTGGTTGTGTTGCCTCTCATAATATTGCCCGCCTGTAAAAATAGTCTATGTTGTATTTCTGAGATTTCACTCTACCCAACCCTTTTCTTTCAACATTTCTGAAAATGGCTTGCTCATCCAACCTTTGTTTAGATTTGAGTCTTGGGGGAGATGCACATGAGCTGCGTTAGGATAATATATGGCGCCTATCCTTTTTATCTTCTAATGACCCTCTTACAGTTGGAGACTTTATGACGAGATATGATATAACAGCTACAATAGTAGGTAGAAACATTCTCACTCCCAAAGATAATAGAATTCTTTCAAAGAAGTCTGATGAATTGTCTGTTTAAGACTCTTTGGCTTTCAGTGTTCGATGTGCAGGTTCTGTATCCAATATGAGCCAACGTCTACTTGCTCGAACTCGCCAAGTCGAAACATTAATGGCGCAAGTCTTAGACAAGAAATTAGAGGGCTCAAACACGAGAATAAAGAGTTGCACAAACTTGCAAATATTTACTCGACGAGCATGAAAAGAAAGCTCGACCAGCTACTGGAATCCGAAAGTCGGATTCAAAGTGATCACCAGAGATTCGTGGCTAGGGTGTCACATGATTAATCTTCAGTGCCTCCTCCTTTTGGGGTATTGCCAATTAATAAGGCTTCACATGAGCAACCTTTGTGAAGGCCCCCACCCCCCAAATTTTTTGTTTTTTGTTTTTGTAGTTGTAACTCACATATATGTATAAAAAAATAAAATAAAAATCTCCCATTTGATTTTATACATGTCTGAAAGCTTATACTTTAGCTTGTTATATATGGGAATTGGGAACCCATGAAAACTTTTGGTTCCATCAACATGATTCAATGAGCTTTTAAGTATAAATATTTTCTAATATCATGTGCTTCCACATGAGTTCTCGAGCATTATGAATTCATGAAAGTATCTCTTGTGTAAGATGTCGATGGTCACAAAGTTAGGTTTTGCTAAGTTCACCATTTTCTTATTCCCAAAAGGAAGAAATTCAGGTATGATGGAAATTGCGATAATTAACTCATACCACATATAACACATGTCTACACAAAATGTTAGAACTTCAATTCTTCACATTATTCATATTTTGAACATCAGGTCAAAATATTATTCATATGTACTCGAAATTTATTTTCAAAATCGACATCATTAGAACCTATAGGTTCATATTTTTGGAATTCATACTCATACTTAATCTGTACATGGATTAAAAAACTTATGATCTTACATGAATCAAGGAACTTCTGACCCTCATTTAATAGTTTGTGGACTAAGGTGCTTATGGCCATCACTTTATTTTAATTGAGGAACTGCTGCTCTCTCAGTTGATTCAAAACTTCAGGTTTTGATTTTTGATCAAGGAACTTCGGATCCGATCTTTTTATATGATGAGGATCAAGAAACTTCAGGTTCTGATTTGATTAAGGAACTTCAGATCCTTTAAATACTCATCATAACAAAATGTGATACACTAAATAAATTAAAGCAATAGACTGTAATTTCAGCTATGATAAATAAATTGCTTTTAAGTAAATAAAACTTGTGACAATAGCGTTGATTCAGCTCGATTTGCATAAATATCAAAACTTTAATGCAAAATTTCACCCATCGTAAATAAATAGAACTTGTGATGAAGTTTTAAACCAGCACCACTCGCATAAACATACCAAAACAGAAGATGCAGTGATTAAGTCTCCATCTTTTTTTTATTTTTTTTATTCATCTCACATGGTATAATGCACCATTCCAAAAGCTTTGGCCTCATTTCCCTTTTTATAATTTTTATTCTCTTGGACTGGATTGTTCGTCCAGGTTCTGGAAATGTAAATGGGGACTTTAATCCTTTGGTCATCATTTGGTGCACCCCAAGTTATCTGGGTGTTCTGTGCTTCGCCGGCAAACTGCCATCTCCGACATATGGAGTACCAGGGCCGAGCTCAATCAAGGCTCAAGGCCATCGTCCGTGAAACCTTCGAGGACGATACGACCTTCTACGATCTCATTCGAGCCTGGGTCGTCATCGATCTTGTCACCAGAGAACCATGGTGATTCCAAGCGCCTCAGGCGCTGGATGTCGACAAGAAGGTATACAAGTTCGAGATTGCTTCAGGCGTTGGGCTGTGGAATTGAGTCCAATCTCTCACCTTTTTCTTTCTTTAAATAACCACCACTAATTTCCTGCTCTAAAAAGCACTGATGGGTTGTGAAGCCCAAAAGTTCAACAATCTTTGGGACTTTGTTGGGATTTGGAAGTGGGAACCTGCAAGCAGAGCCTTCCCCTCCTTTTTCCTTTTTTTTTAAATATTTTTTTTTCTTTTCTTATTGGAATTTTCACCATCATCTTTCCCAGGTGCATAGTTGAATTTGCACCATGTATGTACTCCTTTATTATGCAAATAATAGAAGTCATATAACAAGATATATGTCAAATTAATCGTATTGAGATATGAAAATAAAATGAGAAGATTTTCTTGTCTGTGAAATTTTAGTCAACAACAGAGAGATGAGAGGTAGGGAGTGCTTCATCGGATTTGTGGGGTGTGATTTTTACTGATATAAGAATTTCTCGTACTTATAATATGTTGTAAAACTAACGGTATATGTGTAATGAAATATAAAGTAAATGAGACAATATTTGCGAAATTCGGCAAATGAGCTTAGGTTCTCGGACTAACAATAGTATTTTCATCCATTACATGAAATAATAAAAGTACAAAATAACTCCCCTTATTTTCTCTTTTCTTTTTTAACTCACTCACTAGTAATTTATTCTGTATCTCTTTTCTTTCTCTTCTTCTCTCTCTCTTTTTTCCTTTCTTTTCTCTTCATTCCGTACGTGTCTTCCTTCCATAAGCTCCTCTATTTTATAGGCAAAGCAGGAGCACCGAAAGCAAGCAGCGGCAGCTCCTAGTGGAAGGACATATTCTTGATTCCTTTGTTGAGTGGACATCCAATATTTACAACAGAGGAAAGGAAGAAGGCGGTTTCTTCCCAAAAGAAACACAGCTGAATGGCTTGTTCTTCTCTCTCTCTCAACCTCTCTCAACCTCCCTCTATCTCTCTCTACCTCTCTCTCTCAACAGGGATCAACAAAATTAGGGTTCGGATTTCCATAAACCCCTTTTTACTCTTTCTGTGCAAGTCCAAGGAAAGGAAGGGGTTTTTGGGTTTGATCTCTTGGGTTCCGAAGACCCTTTTCTCAGCGGCAGGATCGATATGAATTCCCCAATTTTCAAGAGGAATCCGCAGTCTCTGAGCAAAATCCGAGTAGCGACACCGCGCCTGTAGCTTCCGCTGATTCGATTGAATTCCAGGGCAAGAAAAAGTAAATTTCAAGGGAAGTCAAAGGATTTTACTCCCACTGCTGCCAAGGTACGTACAATGTGATGTTAAATTTATCCAATTTTTCGATTTGGATTTAGTTGATAGTTTTTGGGGTTTTGACTTTTCAGTAGAGCATTAGTTAAAGCAGTTATCTTTGTGTCCATAAAGTTGGTAGCGGGAAATGAAAATTACCCTGTTAATTTGTTGCAGCCGCCATGGCCTCCGAAAGAAGCATTCGTGTAAGAGCAACAAGGGCTCGAGCTACTGACGAATTATAGTCATAATCTAGCTGAAATTGTAAGAATTGTGAGTTAAATTTCAATGCTTTCGAATCGTTATAGTGCTAAGTCATTTCCTTAATATCAAGCTTTATGCTGAAATTATATACGATTTTGTGATCTGAACATGTTTCAGGGTGAAAAAAATCCCAACCAGTCTCGGCCAAATAAGTGATCTGACGTATCTATCCTTATCTGGCAATCTCCTTATTGGTGTCATTCCGTCTAGTTTGGGGCTGCTTGCCTCTTTAGAAGTGCTTGAACTTTCTTCAAACTATCTCACTGGTGAGATACCGAAAGATATTGTGAATCTGCTGTTCTTCTGCTCGACAAGAATAATATTTCTGGTCAGATTCCATCTCTCACACTGTCATCTTTCAATGTGTCTTTCAATAACATATCAGGTTCACTGCCTGCGAATAATAACCTGATGAAATGCAATGCTGATATAGGAAACCCGTATCTACACTCTTGCGCCATGTTTTCTCTGTCACAGGCAGCTTCTGATTTTCAAGGAAGAGTTGGCGATTCACAACCTTTTGCTGCTTCACCAATGGGAGGTCCAACTCAGGAGAGTGGGAACGGTTTCAGTCCAATTGAGATAGCATCCATTACTTCTGCAGTGGCCATAGTTTCAGTGCTGCTTGCTCTTGTTGTTCTGTTCTTATATACACGGAAATGGAATCCAAAGTCTGGAACTCAAGGGTCTACCAGGAAGGAAGTTACAGTTTTCACAGACATTGGGGTTCCGTTGACCTTTGAGAATGTTGTGTGAGGCACAGGAAGTTTCATTGCTAGCACCTGCATCGGGAATGGAGGTTTTGGAGCTACCTACAAGGCAGAGATATCACCTGGAATCGTGGTGGCAATTAAACGGCTTTCAGTTGGAAGGTTCCCAGGAGTCCAACAGTTTCACGCAGAAATTAAAACCCTTGGAAGGCTTCGGCATCCAAATCTTGTCACTTTGCTTGGTTATCACGCCAGTGATACAGAGATGTTTCTAATATACAACTATTTGGCGGGTGGTAATTTGGAAAAGTTTATTCAGGAAAGGTCTACAAGGGATGTGGATTGGAGGGTACTTCACAAGATTGCTTTGGACATAGCCCGTGCACTTGCCTACCTACATGATCAATGCGTACCACGTGTCCTTCATCGGGATGTCAAGCCGAGCAATATTTTGTTGGATGATGATTTTAATGCGTATCTCTCAGGCTTTGGTTTGGCCAGACTTCTGGGAACTTCAGAGACCCATGCTACTACCGGCGTTGCTGGAACTATTGGATATATTGCCCCAGAATATGCAATGACTTGCCGTGTTTCAGATAAGGCTGATGTATATAGTTATGGCGTTGTGCTACTGGAGTTACTCTCTGACAAGAAGGCACTGGATCCCTCCTTCTCTTCGTATGGAAATGGATTCAACATCGTTCAGTGGTCATGTATGCTTCTTCGGCAAGGCCGGGCAAAGGAATTCTTCACCGCTGGGTTATGGGATGCAGGTCCCCATGATGACTTAGTAGAAGTTCTTCACTTGGCAGTAGTGTGCACGGTTGACTCTCTCTCAACCAGGCCTACAATGAGGCAAGTTGTACGGCTTAAGCAACTTCAGCCTCCATCTTGCTAGCTGCATTACAAGGTTTGTACTGGTTAACATTAGTAGTCTGTAGAAAGAGGAGCTCCATTTGTCATATGTGTCTGCGCATTCGGTGCGCTTTGGATATTTCTTATCCAACCATTTCAGCCTTTGTTTCCAGCCAGACAGACAAGAGGCAGCTTCGTTCGCCATGGATGCATTAAAAGAGATTCAACATTGCTACTTAGGCCCGAGGGACCAAAGGAGGTTCGACATTGTAGCATGGGCTATATGCTTCTTCGACATGGCCGTGTAAAGGAATTCATTATAGCTGTGTTATGGTATGCAGGTCCTCATGATGCAGTTTTCTCGACAAGGCTTACAGTGGCGAATTGAGTCATGGTGTAAGCAACTTCAGCCCTCTGTCTTGTTAGCTGACCAACAAGGGTTGGATCGGTTAACATTAGTAATCTGTATGGCCTCAGGTTAAGAGTATTTGCTTCTGCACCCGTGGTCCTGTAATATATATCGTGTCAAAGTAAAAGAACGTAATAAAAGTATAGTAATTTCTGTGCTGATGTTCTGTTGCTTGGTTTATAGGCGTGTTACTGAATTATTCTTCCACTTTGAATTGTAAAAAGAGTAATGTTTGTCACTTTTACAAATGGGAGGGTCCTGGTTGGTAGGAAGCTATTGGCAACATATTCTTCTTTGGTCATAAGTTTCGTTCTAGCCAAATGCGAATTTAAACCATATTATTGCTAGCCTATTGTAATGTTTAATCTGCTCCGGTTTTAGTATAGATAATATTGTTTGTTAAAAAAAAAAAAAACCTTTTCTTTACTGCATACACAAAATCCCTTGCTTTCCCATCACCTCATTCTATTGGAGGAGAAATTTTTTTAAGTGTACGGTGTTTAACTGAGTACTTCAAGTGTCATAAAATAAATTATGAGACACGGAAAAATATATAATTTTTCTACTTGTATTATGATTTCTTGAGTGTCGGTTAAATACCCGGTACTTGAAAAAAAAATCTCTCCTAATGAAAATTTATGTTATAGCACCTTGTCAAATCATTCCGACGAAAACAACAAAGATCCACATTCTTTGCAGAAGTTACTCCTAGTCATCTTTGGACACCTCTATTTGGGAAGTAACTTTTGCACATTCTTTTTTAATCCTGCTCGTCGAAATTGATATGCATAAATCATTTGGGCACCGAGATAGAATTAAGGTCAAGCTCATAAAAAGCCGGACATAATTAAGTATTGAACTCGATATCTATAAAAATCGAACTTAAAACGTTCCACTTGTAAATAAAAATATATACAGTTAGACCATAGTGTTGGCGGGGTAAAATGCCTCTTGGGAGCCCTTTGTTCTAAGGTTAGAGCCTTCCAACAAGAAGCTTCATGTACCGAGTTCAATACAAGTGCCCACAAATCCATTGAAAGACCGAATTTAAACAAACCAAACAAAGAGTAAAAGCAACATTGATGAATCTTTCCCTACTTTCTCCCTCGTGCTCACGTCTAGGTTTTGACATGGCCACAAGGGCACTAGCAACTACAAAAACGGACTAGGGTTCACCACTATATGCTTCAACGGGTGCGCCACGTCACCACCGCCGGCATGCTTCACAAACTCCGCTGGCGAGAGAAAGCTGCCATGGCAAACGCACAGTATCCTCACTTCCTCACCCTTCTTGTATCTGTAAAGAAACCCTTCTATTCTTTTCCCGTCAGGGCCATCTCCTGTCGTAGACACACACGGCATGTTCTCCAACACATTCCTCATGATTTCGTTGGCACCATTTTCTGGAACTGGGGGTTTATTACAGTTGATTTCCGTTTGGACGCCATTGAACTGGCCCGATCTTTGAGCGGTTATCATTCTTGGGGTGGCTAACAGTTCATCCTCTGTCTTTGGCGAAGATTGAGAATCGACATGGCTTCTTGCTTGGGTGTGCACTCCTGCATATGCATATTGAGATGTAAAATGTGAAAAAAAAAGGGAACAAGAGCTGTGACAAACCAGTCTAAAAATAGATTTTCAAGTGATCCTAGGTATCGGCAAGAAGAGGAAATTGGTAGACAAACATCAACCGAATCTATCATATTGATATGATATAAATACAAGATCATTTGTCTACAATGTTCTTCTTCTTCATATCACAAAATCAATGGCATATCATTTCTCGTGGACACTTTAAGAGACAAAGTTCTTACTAAAGGCCTTCAGTCTGGGAAAGGGATCCTCTCTAGATCCCTTCCTCTTAATCCACCAAGTTCAGGAACCAGGCCATTGAAATTTGATCCAACGGCTTAGTCCTTGTTTGTAGCCGTTGGATCAAATTTCAATGGCCAGGATCCCCGGACTTGGTGGATTAGGAGGAAGGGATCCAAAGAGGATCCCTTTCCTTCATTATGCACTTCAAAATCAATCATGTGAAAGTAAAGTGGATAAGGATATTTGGCGTTGGGGAAAGTAAAGCAACATGGAGGGGATCTAAGGGACCACCGTAGCTGCCCCTGTCGAATGTAAAAGGCACCTAAACAAAGTCAATCATGGGACACTCCTAATCTAGAATTTCACTCGAGACGATTTTCATAACTAGGTTTCGTATAAAACTTAGGCTTCATAGTTTTGAAGGTAGACCAGCTACTGAATACAACACTTTGATAGGTAAATTCTATTGGACCAAGCTACACATAAACCCCTAATCGGACCAAGAACATGGCTAGCAGCACCATCAATCGGTTTGTTAAGGAAGGCAATTCCGAAGTACCTAATTGGATAGACATACCATTACACAAATTGGATAGACATTTAGTACCTAATTGGGAAGGGAAGGGGAGACCTAAAGCCATTTTTTCAAAAACTCGAAAAACATAAAACCGTAATCCTCCTAAGAATTCAAGAACCTACACAATCACTCACAAAATTTATAACATACACCAAACAACGGTAAAAAGAGTCCAATTTCCCGACTTTTGGATGATACAAAATTTCACACAGATCACATAGCAAACTAATTACAATGAAAAACACGTACAAGAATTGAAACCAATTGTAATTAAATTGAAACGATGCAGACTTGGGCGTAGCTAAGTTACCTAGAGCAGTACAAATTAGTTTAGAATAGAATATCGCTCAACTCGGAAAAAGAAGTTTTGAAATGAGAATACCTTGAGACGTGGCAGCAACTTGGTTCTCAGATTCAGAAACCCCAGTTGAGCCACTTCCTTGAGATGCCGCCGGTGGCGGCGGAACAGGACAATTGGGTATCCCCATAGCTCTAAACTCATCTACAACCTTCACAAACTGCTCCCTCCTATGAACCCCATTCGCCACCTCCCCCGTCTTCTCCTCCACGCCGCCGTTCTCTCGGCTCCGATCTCTCGGTACCTTCAAGTTCCTCAGCTGCTTCTCCGACCTCTTCCTCTTCGCCTCCATTCTCCTCAAGCTCTGCAGCTCCTTCCGCTTCCTCCACTCGTCCTCTGTCTCCGTTGGAAGCGAACAAGTCCTCATCAGAGGCACCGCCCGCGACGGCGCGGACACACGACACTTCGTTTCTTCTTCTCTTGCCGGGGTGAAACCGAAATCAGATATTGACGACGAGCGTTTCAGCGCCACCGTTTTGGCTCTGGCGGGGTCCACCCCGAACCGACCGTTCAGAGACAGCCCGAGGCTCAGCTCAATCTCCTCGGAATCCTCGCCGGTTGGCTCCCCGAAATTCCCCGGAAAATCGTTCCTGGCAACCATTTTCCCGTACAAATCGCCCGGAAAAGTACTCACTTGCATTGGGAACACCTGCTGGGTTGCTCTGTTCCCGCCTTCCTCTGTTTGGCCATTGAAAAAAATAAAAATTGCAGAAACTCGCCGGAACCCAAATCAAATTAATCGAATTCAATCAAAGCTACCCAGATCAATTTTTTTTCACGATTTCAAAACCCAGAAGTATAATTTCACCAGAAAATTTTGAAAATCTGAGGAATTGCAGAACCGCCGGAAACCCAAATCGAATTGGTCAAATTCAGAGCTACCCGGATGAAATTTTTGCACTTTTCAGAACCGGGAAGTAGAAATTCAGCAGAAAAATTCAAAATCTGAGAAATTGGGTAAATTTTAATTTAATTTATCATATGGTTTACATCGAACGATGATTGCAGCCATGTTTCCACCGAACACTGCAACAAAACTCCCACATTTTCCCGCACTTTCTCGGCGCGAATTTTCCATGGAAACGGCGAGAAATTTCATCTCAGTTGCACCAGAGGACGAAGACCATGAAGCAGAAGAAGATCGGCACGCAATCAGCGACCCCGCCAGAAGCAGTTCCTCAAGTTGATTGAAAACAAATTGACTGAACACAGAAAAAATTAAAAAGTAAAAATAAATCTCTTTTTAACGGAAGATAAAGAAATAGGGAATACCGAAAAAGCCCCTGAGAATCGCCGACTGCAGACACGTGGCGGACATGAAGAGCGCCGACAACCACGTGGCTTGCAGAAACGCAGATCTGAGTGACGCACCGAACATGCGACGCCTACTAGTTGGGTTTTACTAGATTAGGGTGCGAAGGGACACGTGTCGTGTCGGAGACGATGTGGCGTAGGTGGGCGCCACGTAGCGCGGAAATATCCCGGCGTTGTAGAGAGCCGCAATTCCCTCTATCCGATGCCTTAATATCTATGAATAAACGAGCTGGACTCCAGAGCTGGGAAAACGTACGCTCTGCGGGAGGGACACGTGGATGATGCCTGGGGAGTCGGGTCGGGGCCGTTTCGTTTCCTTGAAGGAATATTGTCGCCGCGAGTGTGGTCATCATTGCTATTCGCTTTATGCTAGTTAAAGTTCAACAAAACGTATTTCTTTGATAATTTGTTGGATTAGTATTAATTCGCTTGAATTCCCGTTTAAAATATTAGTATCAGTAGAAATATCAATACGTAAATTCGTAAAAATATTGACATATTTATCGAATATTGATATCAGATCAATATTTGTTGTTTTTTTTATAGAATATGGAGATTTAGAATAAAATTGTAGGAATTGTCAAACATTGGTTTTGTATGAAATATAAGAGTTTCTTCAATATTTAATAAATGTGTCTAAAATATCGACAATATCTTTCGATTTTAGCATAAAACTTAAAGAGTTTCTTTGATATAAAGTGTAGTTTAGAGTTCACAGGCCATTTTCCTATCTTTCTTTTATTTTTGGGATGTTTTCTGAAAGTATCAACCAAATGAAAGAAATTCTAAACTTTGACTTCTTAATTAAGTAATAAATTATGCTAGAGCCAAAATTTTAAATTAAATTTATAAATAATATGTCATCAATGTGAAATAGATATTTTAATTAACACTTAATTAATAATCTAATCATACATAACCACATAATTTAATTTTAAAAATTTAATTCATCTAGCATTACATTTAACTAATTAATAAAAAAAAATGTAATAATAAGGTGGAGTAAGACGGAAGAATCCATGGAGGAGGTGAGGAGGTGAGAGTGACACGCAAAAGGGCCTGTGACCTGGTCAGGTGTGGACCCCTCCAAGAGGGCCAAGAGGGCCAAGAGGGCCAACTTGCACTCATTTTTATCCAGTAGGGGATGTTATGCAATCAGTGAAATGCCACATGTTAACATGCAGTCAGAGTGCATCGTGTCCGGAGAGAAATGGATGGAGACAGCGAAGCCAAGTTGCAGGTGCAGAAAGGTGTCCAAAGAGTACTTGTCCACTACGCGTGTCCTACGCACGCGTCATGTCAGACTAATTATTACACAAGGAATTATAAAATAGAAAATATCTGATGTTGATATAATTGAATATCAGAGTGTGCAACGAACGAAACTAACAAAATAATAGAAATATTATTAAACAAACCAGAATGTCGAAAGGGCTACAAAACCTTAAGAGACTACATTGTGACTGACTTGTTAAAACTAACTAATATAAGCACTATTATATATAGTGAAAACTAAAACAAACCCTAATCCTTAAAGGATATAGAAAACTAAAGCACAATCATAATCCTTAAAGGATATAGAAAATTCTAACATCCTAGTCCCACAAGAAAACCATAAAAAAAAATAAACTAATAACTAATTTTCCAACACTCCCTGTCAAACTCATGGTGGTACACGTCATGAGTTTGCCAACAAGTAGATGCAGATGCAAGACTCCAAATTTCAGTGCTAGTGTCAATGCCAATGCCAATGCCAATGTCAATGCCAATGCCAATACCGATGCCGATGCCGATACCGATGCCGATACCGATGCCGATGTCAACTTCCGAACAAACAAACAAAAAATCCAACCAAACTTTTTTTTTTCTCTTTGCCCGCATGGGCCTTAAATAAGCAACCAATTTTCTCTTGTTTCTTCTTTTTTTTTTTACTCCCCTTTTTTTCCTTTTTTTTTCGTTCCATTCTACTTTTTCCACTTTTTTTCTTTGCAGCAATACAAACTTGCGGATACTCTTGCAAGTTGCGGCGTTCAATGGTGCAGAAGTAGAGTCATGGGACAAAAAACAAAAAACGAACGAACAATTTTTTTCTTCTTGCAAACAATCAATACCAACTAACAATCTGAACACAAATGACAACGGAAACAAGCAAACAGATACCAACCCGAAGCAGATTAAATCTCGAAGGATCAAACCTGGCTCTGATACCAAGTTGAATATTAGAGTGCGCAACGAACAAGACTAACAAAATAATAGAAATATTATTAAACAAACGAGAATGCCGAAATGGCTACAAAACCCTAAGAGACTACATTGTGACTGACTTGTTAAAACTAACTAATACAAGCAGTATTATATATAGTGAAAACTAAAGCAAACCCTAATCCTTAAAGGATATAGAAAACTAAAGCACAATCCTAATCCTTAAAGGATATAGAAAATTCTAACATCCTTGTCCCACAAGAAAACCATAAACAAAAATAAACTAATAACTAATTTTCCAATAGATATATTGTTTTCTCCCTCGAGAAATGATGGAGAAAATTTTCTCAAAAACGGAATTCTTTATCGTCTCGTGTTATTTAGTTGGTACGAAATTAGCGTTACACTAGAAGTGTGTTTGTTTACCTTAATTAAGCCTTACTAGACTGAACTAATAGTTAGTCCAAGTCCATGTTTGTTAGCAACAAGGACTACGTTTAATGGTATTAACCGAGACTCGCGTCGACTAAAGCTTTCGCTAGGGGTCGTAGCGAGAACCCTCAAGAGCGAGCAAACTGCTAGTCTCGTTCTCTCCCTTCTCCTTCGCACCTTCGCCCCTTTGCCCTTTTGTCTTCTTCTTCCTCGTCGCACCTTCGCCCTCTCGTCTTCTGCTCCCTTATGGGTTTCCAGCCACGTACTCTACGTTCGCCACCAAAGGCTTACTCGAGTGGGCAAATAAACACTGCGTTCGCCGCCAAAGGCCCCCCTCACCGACCCATTCTCCAACCCCAACAACCTATTAATTAGGTTTGTGTTAATGGGGTTTGATGAATTTATGTCAATTTGGGTTAAATTTTGTTAATTTGGATAAATCTGTGAGAGGTACAATTGCTTGTGTATGATTCTTAGAGTGATGCTCTATATGTAATTTAGAATCTTAGAATTGATTTAAATTTGAATGATGTAGGTAGATGTGAAGTAGGTTAATTTAATGGTTGAATTGGTGGCGGTGGTGGGTGCAGGTAGGGGTGGACATGGTGGCAGATCTGGTTGGAGTTACATTGGGTTCAAAAGGAAGGAATGTGGTGCTGCAAAATAAGTATGGACCTCCAAGATTGTCAATGACGGTGAAACTCTCCTCAAATAGGTAATTGGTTCCACATTTGAATTAGCCAATTGCTGTTTTAGTATTTTAGAATCTTCGAATTGATTTAAATTTTAATACCGACATAAATTAAGTTGTCCTTGGTGGCATTAGTTTAACTTTAGTGTTAATAAATAACACTCAAAATATTATCTATCAAATTATCGTTCATTGCTCATGTGTTCTAGTTAGCATTTGTATTTGCAAGTCTGCATGAGCATCTCTTTATGGTTCCCCTTGTATTGCACACTGACTGCCCACAAAAGTTTGATCTTCCAGCTCCATTTTTATTGCACACTACGGGACCATAGACAATTGTTGCATTCTATTTATGATGATGCAATCTGTGCATTTGGAAGGCTTGGCTACATGTATAGGTGTGACAAATACAACATTTAACTAGACCTTGTATCTGTGGTAAATGCTCTTCTTCTGAATATATGCCAATCAGCGTTCTTGTGAGCCTAGAAGTTTCAGATGTCATATCCTCTCAAAGTAGCAAGCTTGGTTCTTTTTCTCATGGGATTACATATTCTGGACACCCCGTAGCATGTGCAATTGCAATCGAAGTACTCAAGATCTACATAAGTAGTTGAAGGGCATTGAAGAATATGTGAATGAACTCAAGTTTAAGCACAAGTAGTTGCAACTTGTATATGTATTGATAGCTGATGATGGTGAAAAAAATATGTAGATTTTCATGTAAAAGCATGTGAAATCCCATCCCTGGAATTTCACCATTTATTATGTATCTCATATTTTAAATTCGTATTTCACGCTTACGTTATCTTTATTAGTTAATTTTAATTCCGTTAATTTTAAGTTAGTAATTGATTATTTATCGAGTTGGAAGTTTCATAAGAAATCTTTATTTTTCGTTGACATTTCGAAGTTGCAACTAGTGTTTTTAAATAGATCTCGAACCCACGAACACATAGGCGAAAGCCGTTTGCAAGTTCGAATTATAACGGTATAGTTGCTGACGTTTAAAGTTGTGAAACTATAGATTATGGGAATTATTTTAAATTCCACTTGGGGGTAAAAGGCCAAACACTTTTGGGATTAAAGGGCCGGCTATTATAAGGGAATTGGGAAAAAAAAAATTAGAAAGGAAAAAGGAAGAGAAGAAAAGAAGAAGGGGGATTTTCTTTTCTTCCATTCGGCTACTGTGCACCACAACACCATATCTTCAGCCGGTCCAAACAACCATCTTCCACCATATTTTCGGGTAATCTTCAACCATCCCACACCTGCCACATCTTCCACAACCTTCCATCTTCTATCTCCACCAAAAACAAAAATCAAGGGTTTTAAGGCCAAATTCAGGTAGAACTCCATAGGAGAACCCGGAGGGTTCTCGACGACGAATTGTCATTCCGGAGAGTATCACCATTAACCATCACCCTTAATCAACTTCCCCTGGACCCAGGAACAAGACCCAATTGGTGGTTGGGGCGTTGGAACACCAAGGAAGCCGAATTGAAGGACACCCACCTTAGGATTTCGTTGAGTGTGAGCCAATTTGAGGGCCTTCTTGGCCAAATTGGACTCGGTCACAGGTATAAAGTTTACTCTACTTGTTGAAATCTTTATTTCTGTAAAATTTGAGAATTTTTTGAGAAAGTCAAATTTTCCGGTGTGTAACATTCGATTTATAAAAATATTGTTGGTTGAGTATTTTATTGATAAGCTCCGCCACTTGATTATTCTAGTGATTGATGGTCTTACCATTGAATTGACACCACTTTTAGTATGCTATGGTGGATAATGTTTAAGGACCTTAGGGACTTACAAGTTAAAATCTAGTGATTGGATATTATGGAATAAGTGACGTAAGATCATGGACCCTACCTTAGAATGACAGTTTGATTCCTCATTAAATGTTGTTGTGGGAAATATATAAGAGTTTTAAGTATGTGGATTATCGAAGGAAATCTAAATGCGATTTGTACCTTGTTAGGCGGTGATAGAACGTGATGCCTTGACTTTCGTGTTTGAGTGCGTTAGTGTGGATCTCAGGTGAGTGATTCTAATCTATGTGTTATGGTTATTGCTTTGAAATCTTATGTGCTAATAAACTGTGTATTTACACTATGGATTCTTAAAATAGTTCTGATGCTAAATAATTGTTGCTTTTAAGTTGTCGTCGATCTACTTATGAAACATTAGGTGACTAGGATATTTGAACTGTGATGGATTGTGTTTTGAGATATATATGTGATGGTTGATAAAAATGATGGATTGTGTTTTGGGATATATATGTGATGGATGATAAAAATGATGGATTGTGAAGGACCATTACCCTAGTGTTATGGGGTTAGGTGACACTAAGTCTGCACCACGTAGCAATGGTCCTGGATGGTCCTGCTTGGTTTATCTGCGTTAAGGGACTATACTATTTGTGGATCGCGCTTGGTTAATCCGCATTGGGCGATCCTTATAGCCTAGGTATGGCCATACACATTTAAAGGTGGTCATGCTTGGTTAATCTGCATTGGGTGATCACCTTCCAATAGTTATAGGAGTGACTCTGCTTGGTTAATCCACATTGGGGGGTCACTACCTATTTGATTATTTTCTTAGGAGTGACTCTGCTTGGTTAATCCGCATTGGGGGGTCACTACCTATTTGGTTATTTTCTTAAGGGTGACTCTGTTTGGTTAATCTGCATTGGGGGGTCACTACCTACTTGGTTACTTTCTTAGGGGTGGCTTTGCTTGGTTGATCCGTTTTGGGGGGCCACTTCCTATTTGGTTATTGTGTAGGCTTCGACCGAATAACGTCTCTCTAAATCTAGTTTTGAATATATCTGTGAATGTGGCTTTGAGAACTCTGAGTTTTGATTTAGAAATCTCGTTGATGTATGTGTGAGCCTTTCGGAGGTTGCAAGGTTTGGTAGCGATTTCTTATAAATGATTTATATTCAAGGTTTATAATTGTGAATGATGGTTGGTTTTATTATTAGTATCATATACTTGTATTATTTATCGCTCACACAAGCTTCGTAGCTTATCCGGGTTGTTGTTTGCCCGGTGCACCATTTCGATGGTGTAGGCACTGATCTTACAGGTAACAAGTCTGAGTAGCTTCGAGAGGTTCGTAGGTGGGATAGCGGTACAATTATCAGAGATTTGGAGTGCTAGGTTACCCTTATATCCTATCTTGTGCTTTATCTTTGGGACTTTCTTTTGAGCACCTCAATCTTTTTCTTAGTAAAGCAAAGATTATGCTTCTTTTTGGGATGTACATATTTGTAAATATTTTGTGGAGAACTTAGTCACCTTCATATTATTTTGGTTTATCAGTTAAAGTATTTTATTTCATAAGTTATACCGTATTCAACGAACGTTATTTTCCTTGTCACGTGTCGATTCTCGACGTATGTTGGGATCGGGGCGTGATAAAGCAAAATCCTTTCCCTGTTTTGTTTGTGAGATGAATGATATTTTCAACAAGGCCAAATCGGAAAAATGATCCCTGTGGTCATAAGGTATTCGGAAGATAGCCCATGTGCTAAAAAAACTTGGATTTAAACCCCTGTGGTGTACTCCGTTAGCAAATTTAGTCCAAAAGTGATTTTTCCGTTAACTATCTGTTAATACATGGGAAAAATTGTACTTTGACGTGTGCACCTTTTTCTTCCTCATCTTTATACTGTCCAATGTATAAGAACAAGGTATGTAATTTGTACTTTCACAACACCATGTCCGAGAAGTATGGATAAGAAGAAGGTTTGTAATTTGTATTTATACAACACCATGTCTGATTCAAATTCAATAAGCATAAACTTGCCAGCACAAATGTCATGTCAGTTTGTCTCAAATTATCTTGTCAATTGTTGTATCACAATCACAAACAGATTAAGAGGTCTTCGATTCCAACTCTGGTATCTACCATTACAAAAGTAGAACACAAAATCGAACCGAACGAAAATCATCATAACAGCTTTCGAATAAATTTCGATTTCTTCGAAACAAATCAAAGTTTCCTCTCAGAAATGTGATTTCCTTTCAATTCTCCACAACTTCATTATAAAATTAAACCAACAAGCACAACGAAAATAGGCAAAACCAACATTGCATTCAATTTGAAGTGAAATTCAGCAACTTTACCTGGTCAAACGTCGTAGGAAAGTCGGTCGAGCAGTTCGGCATCACCGAAATCTCAGTGAAGAAACCAATAACCTCATTCATTATTCTCGGCATGTGACCACCGCCATCATCAACAGCTTCAGGTCATCTCCAACCGAGGGCTGGCCAGAGGGCTCGTTTTAGCCTTCTGGCCCTCCAAGATATTAATATTTTAATGAACAGTACATCACCATATTTGCCTCCATCTCCAACCGAGGGCCAAATGAGTATAGGGCTCGTTTTAGCCATGTCACAAAAAACTGTCTTCAACCAAGGGTCAAAGGACCATAGAGTCAAACATAATTTATTATTTAAATTTAATGTTGTTTCATGTTACTTAATTTAATTTAATGTTGTATAATGACTTAGGAAGTTATAGAAAAAAAAAATAGAATTTAAAAAAAATATGAAACAAATTTTGTAAAATAGAAGTTATAGGAAAAAAAATATGAAACAAATTTTGTAAAATAGAAGTTATAGAAAAAAATAGAATTTAAAAATAGAAGTTATAGGAAAAAAATTTTGTAAAAAAAAAAACTGTAAAAATAAAATAAAAAATAACGGCTAGCTGACATCAGCTAGCTGTTACATTTGAAAATTTGGTCTAGCATTCATGTCGGATATACATATTCCTATCGGTTATACTCGACAGGAATGCTTACATTTCTGGCCAACCCGGGGCTGGCTGTATTGAGCCAGCCTTTTGGCCCTTTCAAATTTCGTGGGGCCCACGGGCCTTCTGGCCTAGCCCTTGGTTGGAGACGGTTTTCAGGCGTTTTTTGGCTCTTTGGCCATTTGGACCTTTCGGTTGGAGATGGCTTCACCTTCTTCTACAAGTTTGTTCTGAAGCTGCAGAGAGCCCGAAGCGAACTTGGAGATCTCAGTGACGGCTTTCTTGCTGTTCGTAGAAAGCAACGAGAGGCCAGTTTTGAAGCTTCATGCCGATCGCAATGATCGCTTTCTCAAAACTGGTTTTGTGAAAATTTAAATTAAAGAGAGAGTAAAGAGACGAGGAAGAGTGCACATGTCAAAGTACAATTTTACCCATGTATTAACAGATAGTTAACATAAAAATTACTTTTGGATTAAATTTGATAATGGAGTGCACCACAAGGGTTTAAATTTGAGTTTTTTTAGCATAGGTCATTTATCTGATTTGGCCTTTCAATAAAGCATCTTTTATATCTTTAAAAAAATGTTTTTTAAACAAGAAAGTGGAAGTTTTCATATTAAATATAAAAAATAAAAATTTAGTCTTGTCTAGTCCGGTACTACACCAAACGCTTAACAATTTGAGTACTGCTTAGTCCAAGCCAAGTCAATCCAGCTTAGTCCCTGAAATTAGTCCAGTTCGAGATAGTCCGGTGCAACAAATGCACAGAAGATAGAAAACTCATAAAGAGTCTCAATTTAAGAAAGTTTTCTTATCATTTCTCTTTTCACTATTTCTTATTAATTCTTTTGAAAAGATAAAAACACTCACTCTCTCTTTTTTTTATTTATTTATTTTCTTCACTTTTCAATTCAATCACGTCGTTTTTATTTTAAAGTATTCAATTCAACGACTAAGCAAGATATTAAAGTAATCGTTGATGGACATACAATGCGAGTAGGCAGTGTAAACGGCCTCATCAAGAGACTCCAAATTCCAGTGAGAAAATGAGTTAAACAGGCAACACCTCACGCTTTCTATGTTTTTCTTACAATCACGAAGAACCCCATCAGCAAACACCCTAATAAAACTCTCACTCTTCTCCTTCCCCTTTTTGTCCACATGATAACTGTCCACATGGCCGGGGCCTCACGCCAATCTACGTTCCGTTTGAACAAATCACCCTTCAATGTGGCTCTTTCGGTAACAAATCCCGCCTTGAATGCCTACACATTTCCACTCTCTTCCAGCCCAAAGTTCATCCGCTTGTATTTCTTCCCAGCTTCATACGCCCCCAACTTCGACCGATCCCAAGCCGTCTTCTCAGTCAAAGCCGGTGGCTTTACCCTTCTCCACGACTTCAACGCTTCAGCCACGGCTGATGCTTCTGCCTCGGATACTATATACAGAGAGTTCTGCTTCCACACTGAGTCAGGACAGAATTTGAATATCACGTTCAGTCCAGGCAAAGCAAGCCCAGATGCCTACGCGTTTATCAATGGGATTGAAATTCTCTCCATGCCCCCATATCTTTTCTACACTTCACCCCAGAGCCCGGATGGGGTTGCTTATGTAGGCAGCGCAAAGACGATTCGCATCGAGAACAACACTGCTCAGGAGATGGTGTACCGAATCAATATCAGTGACGAAAGCCGGATCTATTCCTATCAGGATACTGGTATGCACCGCAATTGGGATGGTTCTGGAGACGAGTACAGCTACTTAGACGATTTAAGTAGGAAGTTTACCTAACCGGAGTAAATAAGGATGAACAGTCACCAAAGAGAAACATGTCTTTGAAATTCCACAAGATCCTACAAAAATACCTGAAACATGTCTGGGGCCATCAAAAAGTCGCCAAGTACTTGGCCAGGAATTTGAAAGACTCCTTTGCCAGACTAAAAATACAACAGAAAATGTAATTAATTGTTCTTAAAACAAATCGAGGAGAGACATGTACATGTAGAAAAAAGATTACAAAGCATACTTTTTGTGTTCTTTCAGTACATTAGCGACGGTCAGAAATAACTGCTTCTGATCAGAGATCCCAATATTCCACTCTTTCAAAAAACTTTCCACATTTTTGAATGAAGGGATGACATGTTCAGTGACCCTCCGATTGATAGCCAAATTAAGAGCACTCAAGTAGACTAAGAACCGGCTATATGGGTTCTCCAGTAGGTTGTACAGATTGAACAAACTGTAAAAAAAATGCTTCATCTGGACTTTCAGACTTTGTAACATTGCGGATAACAGTGAATATGCACTAAAAAATACATGAATTTGTGTATGATGAGCATTGACAAAACCGTTCAGATGCCATCTAATTGTCGTTATTAATTGAATAAGTTGACACTAAGTCCATATCGTCTAGTATTGATAATAAGAACGTTTTAAAGAATATTAGCAATTTCAATTTCTACAAGGGTAAGCATCTATGTAATTGACCAAAAACGCATGCAGAATTTTGAAGTACTTAGGCTAGGGAGCTTCAAGCAAACAATCTTTCAAATTTTGTTAAAATTGAAGATAAAAATGAATTAGTCGTGAAGGAATATTATCCCCTCCAAATTAAGTTAAATATCTCGATCAATACATTAAGGATGCTTAATTTTCAAGTGTGCAGAAAGAATGAGTGAAGCACAAATATCTAGAGTGCAGATTTAAAGATCATGCTTAATTCATTGTGTAGTAGAGGTTCGACATCAACGACATGCTAAAAACTTAAGGGTCGTTTTCGGGTGGATGCTATATAATGGAAGAGATTGAATCTCTACATGTGGTTGATAGACCATCACTCCTATTCTTGTACTCCTGGGGTTGAGGTACTCGGTTAGGGAGTAGGATTCTCTCCCCTCTTATTCTCATCAAGCAGCAAGTATCACATCCATAATCAAAGAAGCACCCTCGGCATCGTCTTCTATCCGCAAAGTTTCATGCTCCACACATCACAGATTTCTCACTCCGATTTTACTTGCAGAATATTTAACCTCACCACTCCCGGCCAAAGCTACTTGTGTCGTTCATTGGGAATCAAACAAAATATTTAAGTCGGGTCTGTTATCCCATAGTCAAGAACACAAGTCTTAGTAAAAGTAAACACATCATGACAGGAAGATACATCCATCCAATGTGATAGAGGAAAAGGAATGGAAATTGCCCAAGTGATGCTTCAGCGCAAGTCTTTTCTATGCAAAGACTTTGAACAAACCCTGGCTGACTCTTCCTGTTTACCTTTCCTTGTTTGCGTTTGCACACCATTGTCACCCCTATTGTACGTCCACCATGTATGGACTTGTAAATAAGTTGTGCTATTTTCCATATTGCCAATTGGTTTTATGGTAGAACATTAACTTTTTTTAAGAGATTCGCCAACAATCTACATTCCGGTGAAAGATATCACCATAAAATGTGGCTATTCCGGCAGCATATTCGATCACTATGATAAATGAAATTGGAATGGAGATGCTTACTTAAACATTTTCTCCATTAGAAGCACACCAAGCAGTTGGTATCACATCCATATCCAAAGCACCACCTTCAATGTTGTCGTCCT